ATTATGCACCCGTTTCATTTTGCATTTCACCTACTAAATGGATCAACTACACCATCACTGAAACGGGGTTCACCATCAAACCAGTTCACTACTCATTGTTCAATTACGCCATGAACTATTTTCACCTTCATGAAAGTTGTTTCATGTACATAGATTAGTTTATTTCGCTCCTGATTTGATGAATTCATTCATTTAATCTTTACAATCTTAAAGATTTTGTAGCAGATTACAATCTTTAAGATTATGAAGCAGATTCATCATGTACTCGTTTCATCATACAATTATTTCATAACGAACCAAATGCATTATGCACCCGTTTCACTACTCTTGGTTCAATTACGTCATGAACCAGTTTCATCATCATGAACCAGTTTCATTTTCATGAAACCTATTTCATGTACATTAATTTTCCTATTTCACCCGTGATTTGATGAATTTATTCCTTTAAGCCTTCCAATCTTCAAGATTCTTGAGCATGTTACAATTTTCAAGATTCTGTAACAGATTCATCATGTACCCGTTTCATCATGCAATTATTTCATGACGAGCCAAATACATTATGCACCCGTTTCATTTTCCACTTCACCTACTAAATGGATCAACTACACCATCAATGAAACGGGTTTACCATGAAAATGTTTCACTACTCATTGTTCAATTATGACATGAACCAGTTTTATTTTCATGAAGCACGTTTCATTTGTATTAATTTCTTTTTTCAATCATGATTTGATCAATTCATTACATTATACCTTACAATCTTCAAAATTCATCAGCAGATTCAATCGCATCACAATATATTTAGTTCAAATTTTTAAAATTATAATATAAATAAATATTTAAATGTTACCATTTATAAAATTTCCTTTATTACGTTCCCTTAATTAAGATTTATTAATAATTTTCATATTTAATTGAAAATATTATAAATGGTCGAAATACCCTTATTGATTAAATTTAATTAGAAAAAAATTAGAATTCTTCTATTGGTCGAAATTAGTTTACACGGTTTCTTAGAAATGCATGATTTTCATTTGAACGTACCCACGTATATATATATATATATAGAGAGAGAGATATATATATATATATATATATAGAGTTTGTTTCAAATACAACTCATCGTATTTGTACAACCAATACAACCCAGTAAATTAAGATATTTATGGAATTGATGAGAGTTCATTTATTATGATTTGAATATTTATGAGAAATGAATATGGTTCATTAATTATGATCAATACTTTATATTATGAAACAATCAAAACTTCTATGAAATCACATATTAATCAAATGAAATGGACGGTTGAGATTGAATTGTATTGGTTGCACAAATGTCAAGGGTTGTATAATAACCAATCTATATATATATATATATATATATTTCAAATGCAACCATGTCCATTTGTACAACCAATGCAACACAATTAATTGAGATATTTATAGAAATGATGAGAGTTTATTTATTATGATTTGAATATTTATAAAAGATGAATATAGTTCATTAATTATGATCAATACTTTATATTATGAAACAATCAAAACTTCTATAAAATCACATATTTATCAAATGAAATGGACGGTTGAGATTGAGTTGTATTGATTGTACAAATATAAAGAGTTGTATAATAACCAACTTTTATATATATATATATATATGTGTGTGTGTGTGTGTGTGTTTGGGTTATGTGTATACATGTATGTATAAGCAGCATATGTGGGAAAGCAGCCATTTGGCATATGCTGCAGGTTACCGACCACATTTGTCAACTCCATTTATATAATCATCTTCACTGTCCCTAACTTCTTGTCCCCTTCACAGTATCAACAGCTAAACTTTATAAATTATTTTATTTTATTTATATATTGTTTTTCATTAAAAATATATATGTGATGTTAAGGGTAACTAAAGGCCATTTATTATATATTTTATCATTATTTTAAATTACTAATTTTAATTATCTATACTATATTATAAAGGATTTGACAAAAATTCTTAAAAATAATATTTTATGCATGAAGTACTGTATATTGATGTATATTACTTAAAATTCAATATTACAAGTAAATGTGCATAAGTACAATTTATTAAAACTTTATATTTTAATTCATATAACTAACTGTAAATAAACATAATCAAATACAGGATAAACATCTCATTTTAAATATAAAAAACTAAAATATAATTAAGATAATCATTGAATTTTAAC